ATATTGTATTTCTCTATCATATATTCTTGGCATGAATAAAGAAAGAAAAAAAATATTTTTAAATTTTTTTATTAAGTTTACGAGCTTGTCTATTTAATCATGAGCTTTGTGTGATGAATATGGATCATGAAAAAGATCATTTACTTCACAAGTTAAGTTTATCCGACCCATTAAAAATGTAAGTTTCGTAGACTAAGTATTAATTAGGCTGAACTAGCATGTATATCCACCTCTAATAGTTTTTACGGTCCACATGATTATCGGTAAGAGAAATATTAATAACATACTTTCAAATAAATTATTTTTAACACACTTTTTATTGTTAACATTTATCAAAATTTATAAAATCATGAGATTTTTTTTTATTACATAGGGTATAAAATCTACCCAACCTCTTAATTCTAATAAATTTGAGAGGGAATGTGTGTCAATGAAGAGTGTGAGTGATAGGGACTGCTGGAAGAAAATAGAACTACACTAGGTTAACGCTAAGAAATTCTCATTCCATGCCATGAAAGATCATGATCAGAGGTTTTAATACAGCAAAAAGAAACAAAGCAATCCAGTACCTACACGTGTAGGGTACTGCTTATTTAAAGTTAAAAACATAACCCAATTACAATTGGGCTGTCACACATAATCTACTAACTTCATGGGTCTTTTAGTAGCACGTTTAGGCCTATGCTCCGTAAGGCCTGGTGGTATTGTATCATTACTGGCCCGGTCAAAATGGACCTTGTCCTCAAGGTCAGTGGACGCACTAGGGAAGCCACGGATCGATGCTGACGTGGGAGCACGAGAGGGCCTTGTGCTTTCTCTCAACGGTGGAGATGAAACCGGAATTGGAAGTGGCATGTCAAGAGACACGCGTACAGCTGGTTGAGTGGGAGAAGTGGGCACGTGCATAGTGGGAGATAACTCCAAGCCCTCGGAAACTAAAATATCTTCCGCATTGTAAATATTGGGCGTGGGATTTGAAGGATCAGCAGTGGAAACAGGGGGGCATCCCTCGGCAGTAGCTTGGTTCGTCACCATGACGGGTAGAGGCCGAAAATGCTGAGTGGGATCATTGCCATGGTAGGGCCGCAACAAGGACACGTGAAAGACAGGATGAATGCACGAAGACTCTGGTAGGAGGAGTTCGTAGGCCACGGGGCCGATACGACGATGAATCCGGAAGGGTCCAAAATAGCGTTTGGACAACTTTTGAGAAACACGGCGGTGAAGTGATGATTGACGATACAGTTGGAGTTTCAACAACACCCAGTCTCCAACAGCAAAGGTATGATCGAGTCTCTTTAAATCCGCATATGTTTTCATGCATTGACGAGTGCGGGAAAGCTGTGCTTTGACTTGTGCTAAAACTGCTCGATGGTTTTGTAGGATCAATTGTACTGATGTCGGGGTAGATGCTTGGGGAATCACATCAATGGGCGAAGGAGGAGGATGACCATATAATGCATGAAACGGAGTCGTGCCGATACTGGAGTGAAAAGATGTATTATACCAATATTCTGCCAGATGAAGATATTGGTACCATGCTCGAGGGTAGTCACTCGCAAAACACCGAAGATAAGCCTCCAAACAACGGTTAAGAACCTCAGATTGACCATCGGTTTCAGGATGGTAAGCTGAACTAAAAGCTAAAGTAGTGCCTTGAAGTCGAAAAATCTCTCGCCAGAAGGAGCTCACAAATAGGGGATCACGATCTGACACAATGGATTTAGGGAATCCATGAAGTTTGAAGACATCAATCATGAAACGACGAGCCAATTGAGGTGCAGTAAACTTTGCTGGGAGAGCCAAGAAATAACCATATTTGGAAAGACGATCACACATGACCCAAATAGTCGAGTGACCAAAGGAACTCGGTAAGTGTGTAATGAAATCCATAGTGATCTCTTCCCACACTCGGTTTGGTTGTTTCAATGGTTGAAGTAACCCAAATTTTTTTATGTGGCAGATACTTGTTTTGTTGACACTGGGGGCAGGAGCAGATAAACTGCTTTGTATCAGCATAAAGACCAGGCCAATAAAATGAAGAAGATAATCTACACACAGTGGTTTTTAAACCAGAGTGACCAGCGACTGGAGTGCAATGAAATTCATGCAGCAATTGTTGGCGACAATTTTCATAATCAGGAACAAAAAGGCGGTCCTGGAAATACAACAATCCATTCTTGAAGGTAAAAATCTCTTTTGTTTCAACCTTCCCAAGTATTTGCTCGACCATATTCCGACCTGTAGTTTGATAATATTTCTGCCATTCTGAGATGAAGGAGGGAATAGGAGAAGAAACATGGAACAAGGACGGCGTCTCAGTCTCTGGTCTAGACAAAGCATCAGCAGCCAAATTATGCTTGTCGAGGCGGTACAATATATCAAAATGAAACCCCAAAAAATTAATGGCCCATTTTTGTTGCTCTGGAGTATGAACAGCCTGGGTAAGTAAATTCTTCAAACTTTTTTGGTCAGTAATGATTTGGAAATATTGACCCACTAGGTACTGACGCCACTTTTTAATAGCTTCTGTAACAACAAACATTTCACGAACATAAACAGAAGAAGCTTGCATCTTTGGACAAAGTCGTTTGCTAAAGAAGGCTAAGGGATGACCCTGTTGAGACAAAACAGCACCAACCACACCAGTAGAAGCATCAGTTTCGATCACGAAAGGAGCTTGAAAATTCGGCAGGGCAAGAACAGGGACAGTAGTAATTTTCTGTTTAAGTTCTGTAAAAGCTTGTTGTGCCTGTGGACTCCAAGTAAAAGTAGAAGATTGTAACAAATCGGTGAGAAGAGTGGCGAGAACAGCATAATGCCTAACAAATTTTCTGTAAAATCCAGTCAACCCTAAAAAACCACGTAAAGCCGTGAGTGAACGTGGAGTAGGCCACTCCAGAATAGCACGAATTTTCTTAGGGTCAGGTTGAACACCTTGACCTGAGATGACATGTCCCAAATAAGTGACAATATCAACAGCAAAAACACATTTTGAAAACTTGGCAAAAAATTTATTTGATAAAAGCAATTGTAAAATAGAATCAAGGTGTTGCAAGTGAGCTTGGAACGAATTACTATAGACCAATATATCATCAAAAAAAACCAAGACAAATTTTCGTAAAAAGGGTCTAAGTAAATCGTTCATAGCTACTTGAAATGTGGACGGGGCATTAGAAAGTCCAAAAGGCATCACCAAAAATTCATAATGCCCATCCAAAGTGCGAAAAGCTGTTTTAAAAGTGTCTTGAGGATTTAGTCGAATTTGATGGTAACCGGAACGAAGATCAATCTTAGAGAAAACCTGTGCAGTTCCCAATTCATCGAGCAATTCATCTATCGTAGGAATAGGAAAACGATCCTTGACCGTTACAGCATTTAGAGCTCTATAATCCACACAGAATCGCCAAGTACCATCCTTCTTTTTAACAAGTAAAACAGGAGAAGAGAATGGACTAGTACTAGGCTTAATAATCCCATCAAGTAACATTTCAGCAATCATTTTGGTCATAATGGTCTTTTGGGAGTGAGGATAGCGGTAAGGCTTCACATTAATGGGTGTGGTATTGGGTAATAAAGGAATATGATGATCATGGGGTCGGTGAGGGGGTAGGCCTTTAGGTTTCTGAAAGATGGGCTCATATTGATGGAGTAAAGTTTGAATTTCAGGGTTACAATGAGTAGGTGGGCTGGGTATGGAAGGGGAGGGATGGCTTAAGGAAGGCTCGTGCGGGGAGTGGGAGATGGTTAAAAGGTGACAAGTGGCTACATAATCTTGGTGGATAAAATGGCATAATTGGTGAAATGAGGCAAATGATGGAGAAAGGCATTCACCTGTAAGAGTGACATGGGTGTCATGGTGAGAAAAGGTAAGGGAGGGAATGGAAAAATCAGCTTGAACTTTGCCTAAAGTTCGCAACCAAGCAAGCCCAAGAACCACATCTGCACCTTCAATGGGAATAACATATAAAGGAACCTGAAAACAAGCCGCTTGAATATCAAGGGAAACTGTGGGGCATAACTGATTGCAGGTAATGAATTCTCCATTGCCGACCATAACCTGAAAGGGAGTGGTAGGGGTGGTAGACAAGTGTAAGTGACGAACCAGACGAGGTTGAATTATGTTATGAGTGCTACCAGTATCAATCAGTACGAGTATTGAAAAGCCATTGATAGTCCCTTTAAACTTGAGTGACTGAGATGAAGGGACGCCGGTCAAAGCCTGAGTGGATAATTGAAAATGAATAGCTGGATCGGTTTCAAAATTCTCCATAGTAGCCTCAACTAAGAAGTCGCCTGTAGAACCCATATCAGTTGTAGAATCATCATGAGACAATAGAAGCAAAAATTTAGGTGTAGAACACCTATGACCCGGGTGAAACTTCTCTTCACAATTATAACATAAACCTGTAGCTCTACGCTCTTGTAATTGCTGGGATGAAAGGCATTTAATTGGTAAGGGTGGGGTAGGTGGTGGGGAGGTATTGATGGAAGGTGTGGGGCCTTTTGATTTGGAAAGCAAGGACGAGTTTGGAACGATAGTGGAGGGTCCGGGTGACATAGTAGAAAAATTACGGGAGCTCTTTGGTTTAGTGTCCTTCAATTTAGCTTCAATGAGCTTAGCAAGCCCAATAGCTTGAGAAACTGATTGAGGCTGAAATAAGGCCATTTCATTTTGAATATCCGGTAAGACACCAGAAATAAAGCAATTTTTAAGAACCTCAGGAAGGATACCCACGACCCTATTACACAATTTTTCAAAATGGGTTTGAAAATCAACCACTGAACCTGTTTGACGAAGCTTCAACAACTCTGCTTGATGATTCTCATAAGAAGAGGGCCCGAAACGGATCTCCAAAGCGCGTGCAAAAGAATGCCAATCACCCAATTGGTGATTATGAAACATCCACTTGAACCAACTTAGTGCCTCCCCTTGCATATAAAAAGCAGCCATAGGCACCCTTTGCTCCCATGGAACCTGATAAAACATGAAATATTGATCAGCCTGAAAAAAGCCAATCAAGAGGCTCTAAACCATCAAAAGTAAGAAGTTGGAGTTTAGGAGGGCAAATTGGAGGGTTAGGAAAAGGTGGTAAAGGAGGTGGAGAATGGTGGGCTGGGAAAAGGGATGTCGTAGGTCTAGTGGTAGAGGTAGTAAACGGTATAGTGGGAGGTGTGGTGGTAGTGGTAGAAAATGTCGGAATAGCGGTTTGGTGAAAGGGTCTAGGGCCTAAATGTTGAGTAAAAAGTGGAGGTGGTCTAGGAAAGGATGGATCAATATAGGGAAAAGGCGGCTGGGACAAATAGGGTAAGGATGATGGGACGGCCATATGGGTAGGGTTATTAAAATTAGGAGGTGGGTCAGGAGGAATTGGGGATGCATCCAAGGAGGATGAAGGGGACACAAAATGATCAAGTAAGGTGTGCATAATAGCCGAGAGGGATTCTTGATTGCTAGTCATTGCTGATTCCATAGAAGAATAACGAGAATCGAAAAGTTCAGCTTGGGACTCAAATTTGGATTGTAACTCAGTGATTTTGGTGGTAAGAATGGCAATAGCATCATCGTCTTTAGTAATTTTGGGAGGCATGAAGGAAAAAAAATGAAAGCACCAATGATAGGGACTGCTGGAAGAAAATAGAACTACACTAGGTTAACGCTAAGAAATTCTCATTCCATGCCATGAAAGATCATGATCAGAGGTTTTAATACAGCAAAAAGAAACAAAGCAATCCAGTACCTACACGTGTAGGGTACTGCTTATTTAAAGTTAAAAACATAACCCAATTACAATTGGGCTGTCACACATAATCTACTAACTTCATGGGTCTTTTAGTAGCACGTATATATGAGTTAATGAGCAACAATTTTCCTATGAGTATTAAAGGAAAATAAATGCTTCATAAAGGAAAATAGAAGTTAAAGATAAAAAAGGTAATAAATTACGCTCCTAAAGTGGATTTGTATGAGTATTAAATGTGACACACTTTGTGAGTACAGATGTGATTTGAAGATACGAAACTGTGTTTTATGAAAAAATAAATAAAAAAAAGGAAAGGAATTATTAATAGTATGAAGAAAAGGGCATTAAGGTAATTTGAAGGGCGTGGGGTTGGTGTTAAATAAAGGCGTGCGCAAGAGAGTTTGGGGGAAGAAAGAAGGTATTTGGAAAGATAGTTGAGTTGAGAGTGAGAGTTAGAATGGGTGAGAAAAGCAAGATTTTGATAATCGGAGGCACCGGTTACATCGGGAAACACATAGTGGAAGCAAGCGCAAAGGCTGGCCATCCCACTTTTGCTTTGGTCAGGGAATCCACCATCTCCAACCCCGCCAAGGCTCAACTCATCGACAAATTTAAGGCTTTGGGTGTTAATTTGGTCCATGTAAGATACTAAATAATATCATAATATCTTACCATTTCTCTACTTTCATATGTTTATGGTTTCAAATGGTAATTGCAGGGAGATCTTTACGATCATGAGAATTTGGTGAAAGCCATAAAGCAAGTGGATGTGGTCATATCCACGGTTGGTCACTTGCAACTTGCCGATCAGGTCAAGATCATCGCTGCCATCAAGGAGGCCGGTAATGTTAAGGTTGTCCACTTCCATCTCCCAACCCTTTACCTTCACCTTTCTTTAAATGTCTTTTTCTTTCTTTCTTATTTTAACCATTCCTAACCACTTTTTCTTTTCAAATTATCAACATGAGATAAGTTATTTTATAACCATGACCATGACTTACCCAATAAAATACTTAAAAGAAAAGAATTTGAATGGTAAATACTATTCCAAGTTGTTCATCCGACTGGTTCACACTTGACTTCTTTAAGGTTTGATGTTTTTCTTGTGATTTTTTTTTATAAGCAAAAAACGTAATATTAAAAAAGGGAGTACAAAGAGTACTCCAACCTGTATACAAAATTAAGACAACTGCTAAATACATATCAATAGCTCATTTAATCAATTTATGTATACTAGATGTTTCTCATTCAAACCCGCTGTCAACCATTTCCATGACCTATATTTGATAGCATTTATAATCTCTCCAACATTTACTAATTCATTATTAAAGACAATATTATTTTTATGTAACCAAATACTCCGTACCATAGCTACCTAAATAATTACTGCGTACTTTTACTTCTTTTTCTCACCCACAAAACCACACATATCATTGTGATTAAAAGTACAATTTTATATTTATAGATATCAACTCAATGTGAGGAAGTTGTATCTCTTTAAAAAAAAAAATAATTGAAATGGTAAAGCAAATTAAAAATCGTTAATCATGTCATTTGGTATTATTTTTCAAGAAAAGATGGAGTTTATTCATGCCTTAGTTTTAAGTTTAAATAAAAAATTACGACTGAAAATATATATATTGTAAGAGTCTAGAAAAGAGGGTAACTTATGCAAGTCAACTTGTTAAGTAATAATTATGTGGTTGTTAGAATCTCTAGAAATTATTAAATTATTGACTGCAAAAAAAAATTTGTGCATAAAAAAAATCACGAATCCCATTTTAATATTTTTTTCAAAAACTACATTAAGTTAATAATTTTTAAAAAAAAATTATACTGTATTGTTAAAAAAAAAACGATTGATCGCCTATTTAATTAAAAAAAGAAAAAAAGACCTAAACTGTAAAAGGGGTAGAATAAAAAAATTAGGCATGAATATGGACAGAAAGCAGCAACGCCACAAATGAGGAATAGTGGCATAGTGGTAGATGTCCCACCACTTGAGTTCATGTAATTGTATCTGGCCTGCTTTGTAGATACATTCCATCAAGAGTTCAAGACTGGGACCACTACCATAATTTCTGGAACGGGACTACCATTTAGTTTCAAACATCGTTTTTAATTATGACTTTTCCTAATACTGCTTTTATTTATTGATTTTTAAAATAGTCCACGTTTTAGTATAGATATTAATTAACGGGGTGTAATGATAAGGATTTTAATAAATCATAAAAGGTTTTTTTCATTATAAAAAGTATTTAATTAAATTTTTTTTAATATAAAAAGTGTTATAATATTTTATTAAAACAATCATAATTTTTTTAAGTACATTCAAATTCGATAGTATTTAATTAAAATAATTATGATTTTTTTTATGAATTTGTCCAAATCCATTAAAATTAAAATTCTTTAAAATCTTATGATGTAAATCCATTAAAATTCTTTAAAATCCATTAAATTATAATATTATTTTCATATTATTAAGCTTAAATTAATAAGTATATTATATTATAAATTTGATGCTTATAAAATATGTTGCGAAATTATATGATATTTTTTTTTTTCCTTTTGATTTTTATTTCGGATACTTATGAATACCTGCACTCACATGGATACCTGTTTATAGAAATGAAGATAGTAGATAATAAGTAAATGATTATCTTTGTTATTTGGTAGAGATATCACTAATATCATGCATATGCACGTTGAATAATGAGTTTTTTTTTAACTGTTATGTTAAAGTGGAATTAGTAAGCATTCTAAGGTAGGAATAGTGTGTTGTTGGCAGAGATTTTTCCCTTCTGAATTCGGAAACGACGTGGATCGTGTCCATGCTGTGGAGCCAGCAAAATCTGCATTCGCCACCAAAGCCCAAATTCGACGTGCCATTGAAGCCGAAGGCATAGCCCACACCTACGTTGCCAGCAACTACTTCGCTGGCTATTTTCTACCCACATTAGCACAACCAGGAGCCTTCGCTCCACCTCCACCCAGAGACAAACTCATTATTTTCGGTGATGGAAATCCTAAAGGTAAGTAACTACGTAAATTCTAGTAGTACCAACATGTGCCTAGATGTAAATATTTGCATTTTGTTTTCCTTGAATACTTGCAGCAATTTTCAACCACGAAGATGACATTGGGACCTACACCATCAGAGCTGTGGATGACCCTAGGACATTGAACAAGATTCTCTACCTTAGGCCCCCAAAGAACATTTACTCATTCAACGAGCTTGCGGCCTTGTGGGAGAAGAAGATTGGCAAGACCGTTGAAAAAGTTTATGTACCAGAGGAGAAAATTCTCAAGGACATTCAAGGTCTCTATAACTATCCTAGTACTAGTTCTTTCTGAAATTGGTAGCATACATACAATACAATACTAATACAGATTAAGCTGAATGTATGATATTGATATTGATATTGGTTTTTGTTGCAGAGTCACCTGTTCCAATCAATGTGATACTATCAATCAACCATTCGGTGTTCGTGAAGGGTGACCATACCAACTTTGAGATTGAGCCTTCTTTTGGGGTTGAGGCTTCTGAGTTGTACCCCGATGTCAAGTACACCACCGTGGAAGAGTACCTTGATCAGTTCGTTTGAATTAAGAAGAGGAAGATCGATACTTTTGTGATCAAATAATTAAATAATCTGAGTTGTGGATTTGGAGTTTAACGTGGAAACTACCTTTCTTCTGGCGGTCTGGCTTATTTGCTTTGTAAACTTGTGAATGTTTTAGTACTACTAATGTAATATAGCCCCGAATCTTAAAGAGGGAGAGTGGAAGACTGTTTTATGTCAAAAGTTTGTGTTATCATGCCTTTCATGCTGTAGAATGTTCCTACTTTAATAGTTCCAAAATAATAAATATGTTATGAGTTGCTGTTAATAACTGAGCTTCTACCTCTGCATTTTACTCATTTATTTTACAATAATTATTGAATTTATAAAGGTTTTAAGAAGATATAATATTACTCTATTATTCCAGCTAGTTGAATTTAAGTCACACACATTCTAGCTGCAAACCTTTTGATTACCTTGCTAACGAAAACAATTTTATTTAATGAACCATAAGTGTATATTTTTTATGCTGAATGGACAATAACCATACATTGCAGAATGTAAATGGTTTTTTTGTAAGTTTATTAATGAGCCAATTTAATAACATGGTGTCGGGAAATTCCCATGGTCCACAGAAAGCACTTTGCTTGTCCATCTCTCCCAAAAATAAATCTTTCAATAAGTTCAATAGATGTTTATTTTGATCATAAAATCATTGCGATTTTGGGTTTTTTGAGTCAAATTATATATGACTCAAATTAATAGATAAATGTTTTTGGTGGGATTGAAGCAATATGGAGTTGTTTTTGTTTCATCCAAAAATCAATTTAAAATTTTTCATTGTATTTTCTCTTATTTATCCTTATACTTTTTTTAATTTAGTTACCTCTGTCTTCGAGCTTTATGCTAATTTAATACTTTTATCATCTATTTCATCCAATTTTAATATTTTTTATAAGGGTTATGGATTCAATTTAAACAGTAAAAGCATTATACACATAATTTTAAAATTTAATAATTAATATGAAGTGAACAAAAAAATTATTGCATTCCTATTTATTGTTACTTTGTAAGTATAAATAGCTAATTATAATAGAAAAACATTAAAATCTATTTTTATAATTATACACTTAAAATCAATTTTAATTCAACATATCAGAACAACATTTTCTTTTTTAAAAAAGCACTTTTCTAATATTTGTTATCTAAACAAAAAATCACGATACTTTGAAATCAATTTTAAGCATAATAATTTCTATAAAATTATATTGATCTAAAAACCAATTTTATAGTGCGGGACCAAACAAACACACTCCAACTTTTTCTATTTTTCATGTAAACTTGTTATGTTTTACCTGACTAGTTGAAAATTGAAAATGCTATGTATACTTGTTTCTTTTCTGCCTTGTCCTTTCTATGTTTATATACCTGCTTCCGCAAGTATTGAGGGTGTGACCAGACGTACTATTCCAACCTTTTCTTAAGAATCCGGTTAGCAATTAAAAATTGTTTACATGAGGTTGGTCGATTCATTGAGAATGGGAGAGAAATTGATAATTTGGAATAATTTTTTCATGTTACGTGCAGATTCAGCAGAATGTGCTGTTTTTTTTAGTTCTTCTCTGTCTACCTCTTTGACAAAGCTAGCTAGGAACGTGTTGGTGACAAATAATTTTTAGGCAAATGGATCTGAAGGAGATCATACCAGTGAAAATTAAATTCATGAGCGTGATGTGTGCAACAAGAGTACATGACCATACGCTGTCATTAATTAAAGTACCAGACAGGTTTTGTTTTAGGCCTTTGCCAAATGCTATAATGAGTGCTGTGTTAAGAATCATATCCCGAAAGCTTAATCAGAAAGTGAACATGTCATCAAGGGTCACGCAAGCTTAAGTATTACGTTACAGTTTAACAAACTTTACAATTATGCGTTGAAAACTAATTTTCTTTTGGCTGGGAAAGGAAGAGTCAATGATCTGCAAGCAAACCGTGTCATAGACTCAGTGTGTTCGATTGTGATCAAGTACAAGACATTTGAGTTAGAAACTGGATAATCAATTCTTTAAATGAACACAACATATAAATCCGTGCTAAAACAAGTAGTCACAATTTGTTGACGAGACTCGTTTGGTAACTAAATACACAGAATTTCCATAACACCTACAAATTTGCAATTGGATTACTTGGACTAGCATTTGCTCTTTGGTTTCACCTCAACAATAAGGAATATGTATGCTAAACAACCAACCCCAACAAATTTATATCATGGTATGAACATATGTAGATATTTACAATGTAATGAATTAATTCTGTTTCTCATCAGCTTACATTGTTCTTTCACAAGGAGTGAGGGCACTAACAATTTGAGATCCAAATCCAGTAAGCATGTCTGTCAACAAGTACTTGTTTATCTGATATTTGTTTGTTTGACTTGGACGTGTATTTTGGGAGAGGAGAGTATATGGCCATCATGGGTTCTATTGCTTATAAGAGTATGATTATGATGCAAGTGTGACACCGTTGGAGTAACTCTAGTACTAGTTGGTAATGGTTCTGGTGCTGGTGCTGAGGCCAATTCCTCTTCAAACTTGGCTGGTGGTGGTGCTGTTCTTATGACATTATTCTCTGTGTAAATCATTCTTCTGAGCTTCATTCCCTCGGTTATATTTCCTGTAAATTTGGATATAACACATTAGAGAATGAGAACAAGAAAATTACATGTCCTGAAGATAATAAGCAACAAGCAACAAGCAACAAGCAACAAGCAAAAGAGCAAACCCAATTAACAATAACAATGTACTTAATTTATACCATTTGAAACGAGGTCAGCTTTTGAATTCTCTGACAGGAGAATGAGTGTAGGGGTGATTATTGTAAGGAGAGCCCAGAAGACGAATATTGGAACTAGAGTTCTTTCACTCATTTGTTGAGAAATTTCATGAACTTCTAAGGTTCTGGCTTTCATGAAATTGAAATTAGCTGGCCATGTTTAAACACAATGACTATCAGAATAATAATAGAATCAATGAATAATAGAAACTGCTACTCAATTTGGTTGGAATTTTATTAGTATTATATAAAGTAGAGTCAAGTTTTAACAACTAAACCTGTGATTTGGTTTCGCGGTTGTTGGATTCTTGTTATCATTACACCCATTCATCAGGCTGTCTGTATGATAAGTCAGAATATGCCGTGGCTTGGTACAATTGGCACACCAATTCTAGTAATATACCAATGCCTAGCCCACCCATTCTAGTTGGTGATTACTTTCTAAGTTCTAAATTATGATGCAATATTTTATACGAGTTAATTTAGGCATACAATATTTATATTGTATTATTTCTTTTTGTCTCTATTCATTACATCAACTACCCTATCTTATTCTCTTTTTTTATTATATAATTTCTCTTTTTTATAATCATCAAGTTTCATGTGCGAAGAAATAGTCTCAAGTATAATATTTCTTATAAATCTCTAAATATTGAAGCAGCAGAGACAAAAATGAAAAATAAAATTAGCATCATCATTTTTCCTTTCTTCCAAATTTTAATCGAATTAGATAAAATTAAAACAATTTCTCTTCCTTCCGACGACACACATCATCACAAAACAACGCATAAAATTTAGATATGATTAGTCTCAACAGCCTCACTAGCAGCCAGAGATATATTATATGAGGAATTGGGTAGTGGGAGGGAAAGAATATTTTCCTTTTCCTACCTATATTCGTTTTACGTTGGTCTCCACTTGCAAATGTAACACTTGAACTACTGAGATTATAGAATCATGAACGTTGGAACTCCCTTCTCAATGGCGTTAGAAGCAAGAGACAGAGTCAGCAAAACAAAGGCTAAAATTTTAAAATAATAATAAATGTGAGAATCACAAGGTCAATAAATTAATTAGCTCCAACTTGCAACGTGAGTCTAATGGTTTAAAAATGTAATAAAAACCACAGTGCGTCACCTAATAACTAAAGACACATAAGCTATACTTGGATTTCATCGCCCAAACCTCAGCACTTTCCTCTAAGTTGTGTGGAGTCTTAGAACAGTCCTAAAAAACTAGCTTTTAAAGTGAGGGTTGTTTTTCACTTATATACTATTTAATTACCTAATTTTTAGTTGACGTGAGATTTGAGTTTTTTTCAATTTGGAGAATCAAATAAATAAATGGGCAAAAAGAAAGTACTAATAATACATTTTAGTCAAGGGTAAAGCTGGCAAGAAACTTCCAAATTGCATTAAAGAAACACAAGTTGGTGAGTACTAAATTGTCCCTGCCACCTTTGTTTATACAGAACAAGATTACCGGATCAAGCTGGTGACAGGGCAGCCCAGTTAATATTGGGCCAGGCCCATTCTTGTTTGAGCAATGGAAAGCCCAGATGATATTCTTCTACTCCACCATTCTGGTTGGGACTCCCAAGTGTAAGGACTAAGCAGTTGAGGAAATGGGAACCCTTGGGAGAGCGATCTACAGCGTTGGTTTTTGGATTCGAGAAACTGGCCAAGCCATTGATCGTCTCGGTTCCCGCCTCCAGGGCGGTTACTACTTCCAAGAACAGCGTTAGTCTCTTTCCCCTTTCAATTTTCTTCATTCCGATGCCCTAATTTATGTAATATTATTACAATCTAAGTTGTACGGTCTTTACATTTCATGAGGTAGTTAGCAAAGGGATTAATATGCTATGTTTGTTGATTTGCCATTATACCATGAAATATGTCGATTAATCTTCTTCCTTGGTGTATTTTAGTGTCTAGGCATCGAACTCTGATGAATGTATTTGATAAGGCTCCGGTTGTTGATAAGGATGTATTTGTTGCGCCGAGTGCCTCCATAATCGGAGACGTTCAAGTTGGAAGAGGATCGTCCATTTGGTATGGATGTGTATTGAGAGGTGAGGTCTCTCACTGGATCAATTCACTGTGACAACATTTTAATGATTTGGTGCGTCTGCTGCTAATGAGATGTTTTTGTTGAATATTTTCTAATGCTTTATTTCTATTTGGGTTACACTTACACTTGTGTAAAAACTAAATCAACAAAACAGTGGCAAGCATATTTCATGGGAAGTTGCATTTCTCTGAGCTTTTACTGTAACTTCAATGAGAAATGTTTGTTGTTTCTGTGTTGTTGAGAAGATATACATGGTGATCCTTCACTTTATGAATAGGTGATGTTAACAGCATCAGCGTCGGGAGTGGGACTAACATACAGGACAACTCTCTGGTGCATGTTGCAAAGTCAAATTTAAGTGGGAAGGTGTTGCCTACAATTATTGGGGATAATGTTACTGTGGGTGAGTAACATTTTGTCATGATCAAGAATGGTGCTATATTCTAATCTTAATGTTAATTTATGTTAGAATCTTCACTGAGCAGGTCATAGTGCTGTTATACATGGTTGTACCGTTGAGGATGAGGCTTTTGTTGGTATGGGTGCAATATTACTTGATGGTGTAGTTGTTGAGAAAAATGCCATGGTTGCTGCTGGAGCCCTTGTGAGACAGAATACAAGGATCCCTTCTGGCGAGGTATGTCTCTGGGTGCTCCTTTTTTTTGGCTACACTCCTTAAATTTATGAGGATTAGGATCATGTTCATTTTAGTCTAAATTGTTTTGGGGAATGATTCTATTATTGAGTTAATATACTGTACTTCCAGTCTAGGGCAAAGAGATTAAATTATAATTATGTGTTTATTTTATTTTATTTATCTTTCTGTTCGTTATTCATGGAATTTTTAGGAATTTTGTTTAGCTTGTAGTGAATTTTAGGTTGATTATTTTGGTATTAAAGTCGTTTAATATTAGATGCATTAGGAATACAGTTTAATTAATATGCACTGTTGCTGTTGGTGTAAAAAAATTTACACCATCAACCAACTGAAAGTCATCTTTGATATGACTTTTATGGTGATTATTATGAAAGTCAACAAATTTACTATACATGATAGTTTCTGATCAAATAACAAAGTAAGAACTCTTTATATTGTTAGTGCATGCACTATTTACTCTTAAAGAAGTTTTTTGTTAGGTTTTTTATTTTTCTTTTTTAAATTTATCCAACAGCCTAACAGTATTTACTATTTAGGTATCTAAAAGGGTTTTTGAAACATAAGGCCCTTATTCTTTTCTGCTTATTTTGATCTCACCTATTCTTCCTCAAAGCTGTTGTCTTGGTATATGTATCACCACTACGGCACTACCACTGATGTGAAGCCAAGAGATATCAACCTCAGAACCAACAGACTAATTCGATATGCTCACCCAAGATCTTTTGAAATAGATTTGATAATAATAATAATAATAATAATAAATGATCCATTGCTTAATATAAACCTTGGTATAGTTCAAACTACAACCCATTACTTATATAATTAAGAACCTTGGTATAAGTAAAAGGAATAGATAAAATTATGGCCTGTTGCTTAATTAAAGTAAGAACCTTGGTATAGATTAAATCGTAAGCTGTTCCTTATGAAAAAAAGAACCTTAGTGTTAAAGATGGATAATTTAGACTATAAGTTGATAGAACTTGATAGTTGGGTGAATACCAATACCAAAAGAATATGACAAGTTCATGAATTTGAAAGAACCGACATGAAAACAAGAACCTTAGTATAGAAGATGGATAATTAAGACTATAAGTAGATAGAACTTGATAGTTGGGTGAATACCAATACCAAAAGAATCTGACGAGTTCATGAATTTGAAAGAACCAAAGAAAGTTAAATATCAGTGTTTTCTATTGCGAAATTCTCCATCACTTGATTTCACATTATGAATTATATATACATGTACAATCATTAATATTATAAACCAAGTAAATGAGGAAACAAAGAGAATAAGAGCAAATTCTAATAAAATTTGAATCTAATCTGCAAATAATAACTCTTAATAAAATATGAAACAAATCCTAATCGTATGTGCAAATAATATGCAAAATACTTTATCACTTGGATCTTGTTACTAAATTGTGCTCTTCTCAGAGCTCTGGCACAGGTCCATATAGTGCCTTTTTGATCTTCTTAGCCTGTGGCCTTGTAATTCACCAATCAATAAAGTCTGTGAATCCTTTATGGGAACGTTATTGCATCAATCACCCCTATCACTATGGCACCTATGACCACAACAGAAACCTAATTTCTTTTATGGGCTATAATTTTGGTTCTAAATTCTCCCTTCTCAACTAAAACCCTAATCCAGAATCCTTGATCCCTTGTCTTAACTGTTACTTATTACTAATGTCATGATTATTACATTGCCTCTTGAACTGCATGAGCTTATATTCCCACTTCCGAGTTTTATTATAAGGTTCAAATTACATAGGATATTTCCCATCTGGGAGAAAAATCTATATATAATTGTACTTTAACATCCAGCAAGGCTTGAATCTATAACTTGTATCTGAAAATTACCATGATATTGTCAATAACGTAGGGAGTCTTTGAATGCCCTGGGTGTGAAATTTAGGACATGGTTCGCCCAATTGTAAGACTGAAGCTATCTTAGATAGTCCACAGCTTATTGTTTATTAGTTTTTATCACGGGATTGAAAACACTCCTCAATTTTTTATCAGTTTTTTCCTGGGCTAGTTATTTTAATTTCAATGTTGGTTTGGCTGCTTTTTCTTGAATGTTTGCTATATGTATCATTCATAATCTGTAAGCACAAATTTACATATTTTGCAGGTTTGGGCAGGCAATCCCGCAAAGTTCCTGAGAAAGCTCACTAGTGAAGAGATAGCTTTCATCTCTCAGTCAGCTACCAACTATACTAACCTTGCACAGGTACATGCAGCTGAAAATTCGAAGTCCTATGATGAAATTGAGTTTGAGAAGGTTTTGCGTAAGAAGTTTGCACGTAAAGATGAGGAGTATGACTCTATGCTAGGTGTTGTTCGTGAGATCCCACCAGAGCTTATTCTTCCTGATAATGTCTTACCTGATAAAGCAGAAAAAGCTCTTAAAAAATGAGGTATTTAAAAGCAGTGTATTCAATTCCAATCTTGAGATGACATCAAGGAACATTCTAGTTTTTTTTTTTTTTTTTTGCAAATTCATGGAAGAGGGATTTTTTTTCATTCCCAATAATACTAGACATTTTCTGCGCTAGAATTGTGGCTCCTTACGATCCAGGAAGCAATTGTTCCATAATATTTCAAACTCTGTTCTATAATCTGA